ATAGGGAAATGCAGAGAATAATTTCTGATAATCGCATGGTGATTGATGATAATACAATACTTCAAAGGGAGTTATCAGCTGCAAAAGAAGAAATTCACAGATTGAACCAGGCTATACCCAAAGTTCTGTCTGAGAAAGAAGCACAATCCAGGGAGTTACTTGAAAGAGGTTTGAAACTAGAAGCTGAGCTTCGTGCTTCTGAGCCTTTAAAGTCTGAGGTTCTGCATTTAAGAGGTGAGATTCAGAAATTGAATAATTTGAAGCAAGATTTGTCTGCTAAAGTCCAAAGCCTCACAAAGGATGTTACTCGATTGCAAGCTGAAAATCAGCAGCTAAATTCTATGAGAGCAGATATGGATGGATTGCTCAAGGAGCTTATTGAGGCCAGGTTTGAAATGGAAATTTTAATTGATTGGTGTTGGATCCTAGTCTATGTTTTGTTCTTTTTGTAGTTAGGATTTGGTACTAGGACAAGTCAAGATAAACTTCAAGACCACATTAATTAGTCTATTCCATGATTGAATTGATCGTGCACAATGTTTTTAGGAGGGCTTATGAATATGAAAAGAAATCCAATGAAGAACAAAATGAACAAAAGCAAGCAATGGAGAAGAACCTTGTTTCAATGGCTCGTGAAATAGAGAAACTGCGTGCAGAGAAGCTCAACTTAGAGAGAGCACGGGGATTAGGTTATTTCTGTCTCTCTAATTTTACTTTCTTTTTCCTTTTACAAAATTATTATCAACATGTGGACGTCTGGTTACATGCAACAATGGTAGCTAGTTGGCTTTAAGCTTCTGTTATACCTTTTTAGGTGCTGAGGGTTATGGGATCTTGAAAAGAAGTCCTGAAATGAGATATGCAGGTGGTCCATATGGTAATAACTATGGTAATTCATGGGCACCATATGAGAAGCGTAGCCGACGTTAAGTTTCGATCTTTCCCTTAGATGTCCTTCATTGGAGTTCAATTTCTGGTTTAACATCTTTACTTTCTTTGGAGAAGCTGCTTTTGAGAATTACCATTATCATCACGGTGTGAAATATCAACTAGTTAAGATTGTAACTGTAGTACATTTTACTGTGACTAAAGTTATACTTTCATTGCATTATACTGTGTCATTTTATGCAAGTTTATTTGAAGAATACTGAAAGACTACTGGCTGGGAAAAACATTTTTTGACGTTTCTCAACCAATCATTGAAACAAGTCTTTTTAAAAGAGAGAGAGAGGGAGAGGATATGATGTAAGCTCTGCAGAATTAGTAGAATAAATGTTGGTGGAGAAGTTTGATTCTGGTGACAAGTACTGTGATGAAAACATACTGTGATTCTCATTCCTATATTCAAATTTTCCAAAATATAGGCTTGTATGAGGGATCCAGCTCTTTGGCTTATGGAGATGCTTTATATTGTTTTGGTTGATTATGCTTTATACGATTGAGTTGATTACAACAGGCACTTCTTTTGTAAGATGATGTTTTCATCACATACCCATGCAAGTGAGTTGCTTGACAGTTCAGTTGCTTTTGTTGGAGATAAAAAGGCTCTATTGGACACGAGTTTTGTGAAGGATCCTGTTGTGTATTGAACATTAGACAAGAAGCCTACACACACTTTCCTATACATACTTTCATAGAAGTAGCCCCTACTACAGCAGGCCTATCTAATAAGTGCTCACGACTGATAAATCTGTGCTAAAGGGTCTCCAATTTCTTAATCCCTGATCTACCCAGTTACTTGCGGATGATATCAAGCCTGTCACCAACATGATCTGCTAAGTAGAGTCAGATAGATCTGGAGCAATAGATCAGCATCAATATAAGGATGCTTGTGGCACTTGTATTTAATTGAAAGATGAGGGGTGGCTCTGATGTCTTTACGCTGGCCTTGTTAAATTTGGTACTTTGGTTATCTCCTGGGTAAGCCTTTTTTTTTTTTTTTTTGCAAGTGTTGTGTAAGTCTTTTCGCAAATTTATCTATTTTGTTTGATTTGTAGTCTTTTTGAATTTCGAACATTCGCCTAAATTCCCAAAGCGTTCGAAGTTGAATGCATAGGCTATAAATTCATCTATTTTGTTCAATGGGGAAAGAATCTAAAGTAGAAATTGGAAGATTTAAGAGATGTGAAACCACAAATTATGTCAACTAAATTGGTATAATTAATTAGATTTAAAGAAATTAACACACCAGACATGTTGAATTGTGTAATGGAGAAAGATCTCTTTGGAAACAAGATTTATAATAAATGTCTCACAAAATTATTTCAAACAAAATAGCATAATAAATATGAATTGAAGGTAATTTAATAAGGAAAAAAACCTCGGTGAAAATATGAATAAAAATAACCTAAGTTTAATAAATCAAATTAATACCATCTTATTAACAATTACAAGCAAATAATTTTAATTTTTATTGTAATATATTACTATGATTAGAGTGATGTGTGGTGATGAAATTAAACAATTAATGATGAAGAAATTTAAAAGTCAAACTAAAATGGTTTCTAATTAAATGGGGTTTGATAGATTTCAACACCTAATCTGCATATTAAACTCCAAAATTAATATTGAGTTTGAATAATCTAAATTATTTAACTCTTCTAATTGTTCAAATTTTTAATTTTAATTAGTTATTAGTTATTAGTAATCTTTATTCTTAAATATAATATTTAAGGTAAAATTTTGAAAATATTTAAAAGGTTTCTTAGACAATGAACCGACCATAATTCAATAATGTCCCATATAAATATATTAAAGCTATGAAAAAATTAATATCAAAGAACACGACATTAAAATACTTTATTTTATTAATAAAGTAATTCTCACCGATTTTTTTGGTCAAAATTAAAAAATAATAATAAAGAGAAAAAAAAAAGACACAATGAGAGAGTGATAACGTGACAAAGTGAGCATGTTGTTGCCATTATTATAGAATTCATAATAATTAATGGAATAAAATAAACAAAACTGACATAAAAAAAATTAATTAGGCAAATCTTGGCTTGACCTCACGAGAGAATGCACGTGCAGCTTTTTCCAATAAAATCTTTTATTTTCATTATTAATTTGTATACTTTTTTTTTATTATTATTAAAAATAAAAAAGGGGATCATTTCTGAGTTTAGACAAATTGAATTTTTTTATTTTTAATATGTGGAACCATACTTAATATTTTAACTTTGTATTTATGTGGAAAGAACTGTTGCACGTGATCTTCAACCTAATTACTTTGTTTCTCCTTAATTTATTCATATATCTAATTAAAATAAATCCCTTAAAATTAAATATTACGATTTCACAACATCCTCTCAGTCCAATTTTAAAGAGGAAAGAGCTATATCTTGTATCACACGGATTTGAAGCAGAGAGACTGATCGACAAAAACCAAGTAAAATTGGGAATTAAAATAACCATTTTTATTTTCATAAATCAAAATGAAACTTTTTTTTTTGTGTGAGAATTAAAATAAATTTGCATGTGATGACTATGATGGATCTTGGTGGGATAAGAGTACGAGACAATGTGCAACGTTGCTTAACGAAGACATGCTGCCAATCATTTGTAGCAACCTATTCAACAAAGGTGAATGATAGTTTTTTTGTGCAACAATCATCGTTAGTCGCATAGTATGAAAAATGATAGAGTACTAAACTTACTTAATAAGTGATTTAGAGATGAAATTGAGAAATGCGTACACATGCAAATATGAGTATTAGGATTCCAATTCTTCTCTTACCAATGTCACTAAGTGAGTATCTCTTTACACAACTCTACATGCATCATGTTCATGCATATAGAACTCTCGAAAGCATATAGAAAACATCAATTCTTAATAACGCCCGTCCCATAACTTAACCTCTTCTCGTGTTTTTCGATACTCGGGATCCGTTTATTCCGGAGGTTGTTCTAGGTCTCTCTGTGTTGGTTGGTGTAATAAAAATAAAAAATAAATAAAAATAAAAAAACATATATATAAATATTTACAAAAGATGCCTTTTTTGTATCTGTTATTGGAATGGGAGAAGGCAGTGAAAAGTAGAAGTAATAATGATAATATAATAAATGATTTTTCTTTTTTCTAAAATTTGTTCAGTTCCACAACTCTTCCACTGCTACTTGTCTGCTTCACACTCTTCTTCTTTTTATTTTGAAATTATTTTATAAAATTAATAATTGTGAAAATAATAATAAAAGTAAGTAATAATAATAATGGTAATGGCTGCCTCACCCACCAAAGTACGAAATAGGAGTTATTGAGAGTGTACGTGGCATTGCCTCCTCACTCCACACTTATTGGCTGACACCTACCCTAAACCCTGCTGCCCCCACTCACGTGCTCTTCCCTTCTCCTCTCACGTGTTTTCTTAATATTTATTTTCAACTAATAATCCCCCCCTTCTATCTACGTTCATATTACTAAACATTTTATGAAAACAAAAAAGAAAAAAAGAAAAAAAGAAACTCGGCACGTGGCACCATAAAGGTTAGTCACGTGGCTGGACTGCACCTAGTTTTCGTGTTTATTTAAACCCTAATTATATTTGCTTAACAAAAATCAACGCCTAAACCCTCACTTTATAAAATCCTTTCAATATAATATAATACATGCTTATTATGAAGCTTCATAGAAACTGCGTGACCCACATTCATTTTCAGATAATATAATAATAAATATTAATATGTACAAGTATATATCAGCATTTCCATAATACTCGTTACTACGTGTTTGTCCCCCTCGTGCTCACTCATCTTCAAATACTCGGGAAGCAAATAGGATGCATAAATTGATTTTTATGGGGTTTTTTAAAAAAAATAAATGGGAGTGAAGTGACAGAAGGCTGAGAATCCAAAGGAATTGGATCATGAAAATCAATATGCAAACAATTGTGAATGGTGTGTTATAAATATAGAATAATTGTTGAAAATTTTGTAGGGATTGATTGGAATATGTTTGATGAAGAAATGGAGTCGCAGATGAATCCAACAGACAAAATGAGGCGTGACAAGAACAAAGAACGAAGAACAATAGAATTATAAATAACTAAGAAATCCGCATTTCCTGGACGGCTCTCAAAGCGCAGGAAAACCCAGAACACATGGATCTCTACTCTCCCATCATTAAACAAAACTCAACAACTTTCCCGCAAAATTTTAACATTTTCCCGAGAAAATCAGTGTTTTTTACCAGAACCCCAACAAAAACTAAACCTCAAAGACACTATGTAAAACAAAACATAAACATTGTTTTCTTCAACCCTAATCTGCAAAACTTTCTTATCATGAGCAAGGAACATTCAAAGCTTCATCCACCCAACAGGATATTTCATCGTTTCCAAAATCGTTGAAATCGCAATCCGGCAAGCAACTGGGTTCATCCTCATCCAACCCGTAAATCTGAAGGTCGTCCATGCCGGAGAAGTCGTCAAACAATAGTCCAATGTCGTTCATGAAAAAGGGGTCCAGTTCTGGAAGCCCCAAATTGATTTCGAAATCCTCGTCCACGAATCCCAAATTGGGGATTTGGAGTTCGTTCATCAAACTGGTGTCGATCACTTCCTCCTCTTTTATCAAAACAGAGGAAGAGGTTTCCATTTCAACAATGGCGGCTGGGGATGTTTGAGAGATGGCGGTGCCGGATTCTTCCTCGTTCTCATCGGAGGAAGAAGACGAGGAAGAGATGATGACGTTGGTTTTGGGGGCGGCCGCCATGGCGTTTTCGAACTCGAGGCGTTTTGATTCGTAGGCCTGAGAGGCTTCTTCAGCAGTGTTGTAAGTCCCGAGCCAAATGCGAGCTCCCTTGAAAGGGTCTCGGATTTCGGCGGCCCATTTGCCCCACTTTCTTTGACGAACTCCTCTGTATTGAGAGGCGCTTCTTCGGGTGGAGAGGGTTTTAGGCATGGTTTTACTGCCTAAACCCCTCTTCCTCTTCAGCTCTGGGTTTTTGCTGCCATTGTTGCTGTCCTGTGAAGAACTCTGAGTGCTAGTGGTTACGTCCATTGATTTAGAGGACTGAAAAGGGAACAAGGGTAGATGGATTTCTCGAACGATTCGTTTTAATTTGAGAGATTTGGTTCCGATTTCACCCTCATCTTCGCTCGAAGACGAATCGGTTGCGTCTGGATCGTTGCAGATGACACGGATTTTCCGAGTCATTTTAGGTTCTTGGGGTCTCGATTTGGATTTTTTTCCAAAACTTTTTTGATTCGTTAGCTGTAAAACTCGAGGCTCTGGCATTGTTTTGAAGAAAAGAAAAGGAAAAAACTCTACAACTCAGGAAAAATAGAACTCGAACTCGAACAGACCAAAACTTAAGGGGAAAAGGAGGGGAACAGAATGAACCAAAATCGAATCAAGGGTTAGTATTATGTGAAACCCCCTCTTCTGAAGAGCAAGAGAATGAAGGAGAATCGTTTTATATGAAAAGCTCCAAAGCACTTAACTCCAGAACAAGTCCTGCAAAAGACCCACAAACAAAAATCAGATTAAAACCCAGAAAACAAAACAGATCGAGACAGTAAAAAGAGAAGAAAAAACCCCCCACAAACCTCTTCGGTCTGAAACGCATCGAAACAGATGGAAACACCAGATTAAGGCTCTGCTTGAAACAGCAGAGAATCATACAGCAAGAGAGAAGTAAGGAAGAAGAAGAAGAAGAAAAACAGAGCTGCAACAGAGCCCCAATCACAGCCAAGTCAAACCCAGCCGACATAAATCTGCAGCTCCTCAACTCCTAGAACTCTGCCTTCCTCTTCCTCAAACCTCAGAGAAAATCAGAAAACAAAACAGGAAAAAAGAAGCCCTCCCTCCGTCTGCCTTTGAAACAGCGGAAGAATAAGCAAAACGAAGATAATAAATAAAAGGGAAGGGAGTACAGAAAAGGGAAGGATTGAAGAGATAGGATGAGAAATCAATGGCTATGGTTGGGCTTTGCTTAAAACGTGACAAAGGAAGCGTTAAACTTATCAATGTATGCCTACGGCGTGTGCAGGAAAACAGCGAAATGAAGCTCAGAAAGGCGCTCAAGTTGCAGAGCAAGAGAAACAGACAGAAGAAGCCTTTCAAACCCTAAATTTCCCTAAATCTCCATTCACAGACAACAGAGGAAGAAGGCGAGAATTGGGTATATAAAAATAACCAAAATTTAAGCAAATCAAACCACACCCATCATTTTGACCAGAAAAAAAATTAAAAAAAAAAAGTATACCTCACTTTCTCACTCTCTCTCTAGCTCTACCTCTGGCTTCGGCTTCGACTTCGACTTCGGCTTCGGCTTCCGCTACGGCCTGTGTCTGTATTCTATTCCTCACGTCCCAATCAATGAGTCTGCGCCCCCTTCCTCTTTACCAACTCATGTGTTTCGTGTCCCTCACGCGCTGGGAAAGTGGCGCTACTGCATCCTGCACACAAAAACCCAAATCATTCTACTTAATTACGGTACTGCCACTGAAGCAGATACTTGCTCCCCAAGTTTAACCTTCCGTATTTATTTATTTATACCATTACGTTGCCTTTTTATTTTATATGCAAAATTATTTCTTTTTACTAAATCATTTAACAAAATTATATATATATATATATATATATATATATGTAAAGAGTATTTACGTATATAGTATGGTATAAATAAATTTTCCAAGTATAGTAAAAAGTTATTGACTTTACAAACATAGAATATTTTAAAAAATCTAAATTTGATTCAAATAATATAAAATACGATTCCAAAAAGTCAAATTTTATGGTCAATTATATAACATTTTTATGGTATCTATTAAAATCTCAATATATATCTTTTACTGATTTTCTTCAATTTTTAATAAACAGTTAATTTAGAAAATCTTATATTGATCTTCTTCAACAATTTACTTTGATTTTATTTATTTGTGATTAATTTAAATCACAATATATTCCCTTTTAAAATAAATAAATAACTACCTGTTTCGAGTGATTTAAAAAGAACCAATAAATTCGATTTGGTTTTGTTTTTTCTATCAAATAAAAAATAAACTTAAGGTTTGATATTTTAGTTTCTAAAAATAATATTAGTAAAATTCTGATTCTTTTATATATATATATATTTTACTGGAGAGTTTTTAAAATAATAAAAATATAAAATGGAAGGAATGTGAGTTTTAATTTAGTTACACCAACTTATAATTACTTATTTGAGAGCAAGTTGTGTTTAAAAGTTAATGTTATATATTAAGTAAATTAAATGATGGGTTAACTACACAAAATGTGATATAATAAAATAAGATGCACGAATGTAGATTGAAGTAGACTAAAAACTCGCGAAAGCGATGGTCACACAAATAGCTTTTTTAATAACAGAGAATAATAATTATGTTGGAAAAATAATTAATATTAAAGATAAAGTAAGGAGCAAAAAAACAAAAAAATGATGCATTGGGTAAAGAAATGAAGAAACAAATTTGGACAAAAATACACCGATTCAAGTTCCAAATCGATCATTATTTATCTCTCAAATTTTTAATGTTAAGAATTTTTTATGTTTGTAATTAATGTTAATGATTGTGACGTATAAACCGTGGAAAAAAAATCAAGTTTACTTAAACAAAATAATAAATAATAATAAAGAAAAAAAAGGGAGGGAAAATAGGAGAAGGGGGGAGCAGGGAGTGCACGTGAGGATGTTGGCCTCGATCAGAACAAAAGGGAAAATCGGAGGGTGGAGATGAGTGGGTGTGAAAGATAAGAATTGAATGCTTTGTCGTGTGTTCCGTATCCCAACAAAACCGTACCCCTTTTTATATTCAAACCCAAACTATTATCTACTTAATATTTTCTTATGAAATATATCTTATATATTATATTTTAATTTTTTTTTAATTTAATCTATAGTATATTTTATTTTATTTTTAATATTTAATTTTATTTTATTGGTAGGTATTAGTTGTCGACTCGTATTTTATTTTATTTTTAATATTTAATTTTATTTTATTGGTAGGTATTAGTTGTCGACTCGTATCTTATTTAGAGGTTATGAATATTAACGAAAATATATATCTTTATTCCAATTTTATTTTTATTTCTCATTCTTAACACTCCTCCCTCCCTCGACTCAATTTCATTATTAAAATAAAATTCAAATTACTCCCTTGTACATAATATTCTTCTATTTAATCCCTCGCAATTTAGGTAATTAAAAACATAAAATTTAATTAAATGCTTTTCAACACTGTAACTTTCAAAGCTCGGAAAATAGAATAAACTTCAACAATTCAAAGGGGACAAATTGGAACATAAAAGAAAAAGAAAAAGCTTAAATTACAAAATTTATTCACTTTTTAATTTGAGTCTTAAGTTCAGTTTTTTTTTTAAATAGTTCCTCCAGTTTTTTAGTTTGTGTTCAAATTTTTTTTAAAAAAATCACCTATTTAATCAATATATATAATTAAATTTTATTTCTAATAAAATTTTAAATTTTTAAATCCTATTTATCTCTGCGGGGTTATGCTGTTTATGCGCATGATCATGGCAATACCATACACACACATCCATAATCCATATTCCTCATAAACGTGGCATCAGTTAGGCTCCAAAAGATGCGGTGGCAAAATCCGTTACGCAAAATGAATGGACATTAGTGGGCCAACAAGGATCTGCTTCCATTTTCCCGCCAATTACGCCAGGTTGGAGCCCACCTGGACCCTTTTTTCTACCCTAAACCGACCCCTCTACTTGCCAACACTTTCATGCCACGTGTTCAGCCAGCGTAGAGTGTACGCCAGCTGTAGGGCGTTTTCGTTTCTTCTTAACGCTGGGCCCCACAGGCTCCATGTCAAGTGGCGCTTACTTATTACGCAAACAAAAGTCAAACGGTAACGGGGATTGTTAGTCCACATTTCCGTATTCTCCCTGCCCGTCCCGTAAAACCTCTGTTTGGTAACAAATGTTTTTTTATTCATCAGGAGGATAATGACAAATTAAGTTACAACTTACCACCACATATACATACATACTATATATCATACATACTATATATCATACATACTATATATACATACATACTATATAGAGAGAAAAAATTACACGTTTTTACTATTCTAAGTTTATTTTAAATTAATAAAAATATCATTCTACAAAATATTCTCTAATATTTAAAAATTCTAAAATATTCCGTAAAAAAACTTTTTTAACTCTTTCAAAAAATTCAAAACTATTTTTACGTTAATTTTATATCGAAATCATTATTTAAAAAATACATTTAAACTTTATTAAAAATTATTAAACATTATTCATGAATTTTTTAAATAACTTTAATAATCCTAAAGAGTACAACCTTATTTTTATTAATTTAGCTTCCTTTAGTAGCATTTTTGGTTTCACACGTTTCTTTTTATTATTATTATTATTAATTTTTTTTTTCCTCTTTCTTTTCAAGATTGAAAATATTTCTTAATCTCGTAAATTTAACCTGGATTGAATTATGGAGGTGATCTCGTAATTCCTACGGATGGAAACGATGGGATCGATTGAACGCTGAAACTTAACCATTGAAAAAGGCGAAGTTCATAACAATCTCTGTAAAGCAAGGAACAAAGTTTAAAAAAATGAACGTCACTTTGGGACACATACGAATCGACCTAATTAAATATAATCAAACTTACACGAGAAAGTTTTGACATCTATTTAATTTTCGTATTCAAAATTCTCAAATGGCTTAATTTTTTTATAAAGTCTTTTATCGTATTACTTAAATGGTTTAATTTCATTATATCATTGTAATTACATCATTATCTTAAGTATCACTTATCATTTAATAAACCATTTATTTATGATCTGATCGGTAAGCTAAAGTCTTTTTAGGCCAATGAGAAGGCGATACTCCATTGTTAAAATCTCGAAGTCAACACTTAGAGAACTATTCATCTATTAACTTATATTGGAAATAGTGAATCTTTCGTGAAATTACGCCCTAATTCTCTATTTGGTCAATTTTTCAAAATGGTAGGTTTATTGGATTTACTAAATAACCCAGTTTTTCATGTAAATCAATGAACAAGTTCTCACATGCAGTAACTCATAACTCATTCAAGATTAAGATTAAAGTCAAATATAATCGTTTTGTGAAATATTAATATTTTTAATTTTAAGATTAAAGTCAAATATAATCGTTTTGTGAAATATTAATATTTTTAATTAACAAATTTATAAATAGAAATTAAATATTTCGTGGTTAAGTATTATACAAAATTACTATATACGATACTCCTATTCACATATCTGTACACACACTATATGAATTGAATTGTTCTAACATTCGAAAGTGAATTGAATTGTTCGAACAATACAGATGATCATTTATTATAATTACAAATGGATCATTTGTAATAATAGTGTTACAAGAACCATTAATTTCTCTTAATTAAATTAGCATATATGGTGTGTAAGGTTTTGATAAATGTAAAATGAAATAGTCGTGCGTTCCTTACCAATTATGTGGCAAAAATAATTATTATTTGGACATAAATTATGATAAATATAAAAAAAAATGTCATATTTTATTATTTTTTTTGGTGAAAAGAAAAATTGACGTTGACATTAGAGATGGTTTGACAAAGATTTTGTGTTCTTTTCCCTCCTTTTACATTAAAATAATCAAAGTTGAACTATTTTCCAATAATTATTTATTTTTCTTTTGACTAACAAAATACATAAACATAAATATAAAACGTGTTAAAAACACGAAGATTCCCGAACTACTTTTCTTTAAATAAAATCATTTCATTTTAGAAAAATAAAATAATGATAATGTAAAAGAAATAATTCATTAAGAAAAGTAGCTTACAATTGACATTGGGCCTTTATAAATGTCTGGCCCAAATATAAACATTCCAGCCCAAATAAATTTATTTTAAAATCTTAATTACTTCCATTAATACCTTTCAAGAAAGTTCAATTTTCTTTTAAAATTGGCAAATGATGGATTGAGTAACATATAAATTTCGAGTATAGTATATGTCTCGCACCTCAACTCATTATTCCACGTTCTCCAGGTCCGACCTAAATTAATATAGACGTAGAAAAGGATAGATAGTGCTTACGTGAGTTTGACCCGCATTTGACTCTGCTTGCTTCTAACTCCCCTTCCGAGTCGTTAAGAGAGGGAAATTCATATGTTAGTCACGCAGCAACTACGTTCACACTAACGATTTGACAAGTCTTTCTTCATTTTTAATTGGTGGTAAATAGTAGTAAGGATTAAAATGGGTGATTTGAAGGATTGGATTGGAAGTTGCTTTATTCTAAAAAAAACTACATGAACGATGAACACAACTACAAGGTTTGTTCCCAACCAATTTGAAAGATGAGTGAGTGAAAGAAAAGAGCAGCTCAATCACATAATCTATTATAGCTCTTAACCCATTTTCCAGGAGATTTCAAAGTTCTTACCAACCGGCAATGATAATCCCCTCACCTCTACCATCACAGTTTTCCTCTTATCCCCTCCTACCTCCTCCACTTTTTCTTGCTCATAATAACTCTGTTCTGATGTATAAAACTCGACGTTCGAATCATCCGCAACAGCATTTCCATTGATCTCGAGACCGTTAGCTCGTTTGCTTGCATCTAACCCCAACACGACAACCTTCTCCACAATCCAACCCTTTTCTAGAGCAAATTTGCTTTCTTGAACTGCAGACCATACTTTAACACTCCCCTGGCTGACTGTTGCATAAAGTTCAATATAAGTAGATAGACCATCCCCAAGCTTAATCTCGGGATGCTCGTCGTCGTCGAGGAATAGCTTTCCCTTGGCATCTCCTTCACTTTGATCGGCAGGGAAGGCCACAACGAAGGTGAAGGGAGTTTTTCGAGCTTCCTTTGAAATCAATCCACCTCGTTGCATCGGTAGAATGGCGTTTTGATACAAATGCACATTAATAACATTCAATGGTGCAGGAAGAGAGAGATATTGAGGTTGTTTTGTAACTATGGTTTGCCTCATATCAAACAAACTGTACCAAGTGCCTGGGGGAAACAATGCATCGACCTTTGTTTCTCCCTTGTCAAGCACAGGGGATACCAAAACACTGCTCCCAACCAAGAATTGAGTGCTCACATTATAACACTCCTTAAGATCTAGGAATGAGAAGAAAAGCGGTCGAGCAATTGGCGCTCCGGTTGTATGAGCTTCGTAGTTCAATGTATATAGATAAGGCAGGAGCTTATACCTCATCCCGAGCGCGTTTCGAGCAGATTTAGCAACTGACTCCCACTGATAAAGCTCCTGTCTTGGGGAATAATAGTTGGCGTGATCCCTCGAGAAAGGATAGAAGGCGCCAAGTTCGATCCAACGGTTGCAGAGTTCTTCTGTGGGTGCTGGATAGAAGCCACAGATATCAGAACCAACCATTGGCACTCCAAATATGCCAAAATTAAGCATGGTAGAAATGGAGTACTTCAAATCATTCCATGTTCCCTGGTTATCCCCAGTCCAATGAGCTGCATATTTGCCTGAACCAACAAATGTGGAACGGGAAAGGATAAACGGCCTCTTGCCCTCGAGAGCGAGAAGGGCCTTGTGCGTCGCAATGGATTGAGAGAACCCATAGATACTGTGAGCGTCGTACTCGAGAACGCCATTGTAATGAACTGCACTGGTTGCAATTGTTTTGAAGCCTATTGGCGCCTGCAAACCTGAAGCATTTATCTTGTAAGGTGGATCGTCCCATCTTGTTTTCGTAATGTTCTTGCAGTCGAGGCAGCAAAGCCAGCCAGGTCCCGTTCCAGTCGGACATTGTTTGCCTTCCGGGATTTTGCACAATCCAGAACAGAAATTTGAGGCTTCATTCATATCAATCCATAGGCCATCAACAGGGACAAGTTCATGGAAGCGCCGGATCTCATCACCCCACCACGAAACAGTTTTGGGATTAAGGAAATCAGGGAAGTTCACAGCGCCAGGCCAAACTTGAGCCAAGTATGGTTCACCCTCGTACTTTATGAAAACATCATTCTCTATGCCTCTTTGATACACACCATAACTTGAATTAACAGCAATCCCAGGGTCAATAATCACAATATACTTCATTCCAATGCTATGTATCTTGTCCAGGAAAGCTAGAAGCTTCGGACGCGGATAATTCACAGGGTTCAGAGTGAAATCCTTGTGTCCATCCATGTGATCATCGTCGTTCCAAATAACGTCGAGAGGGATTCGAGCCTTTTGATAGTTCTCCACAACATCCTCTACAACAGACAGGTTATGGTAACCCCATCTACATTGGTGAAATCCTGCATACCACAAATTTCAAAGTTGAAGGGCCTATTAACAACGAACCTATTCGACACAAACCTAAAAGTTCATAGACTAAACTATTAATTAGTCGTTGTGTTGCATTCAATGTTCATTCAATTATTAACCAAGATATGACACAACTATATACAATACTGTGCCACATAGAAAAGTAATAAATTAGACGTTAGATTTTCAAAGAAACAGAGCATAAAAACAGAGTAGAAAATCAAAAAGGAAAGTTAAAGAAATGGAATGATACCAAAGGCCCAGTAAGGCATGGGAGCAGGTTTTCCAACGAGGGAAGTGTACTGTTGAACAACATCAAGTGGTGAAGGTCCAGAAAAGAAGTAAAAATCCAAAACCCCTCCAATGACCTTGTACGTCAAAGACTTTCCTCTGTAAAACACATCCATCCCATTGCTGTTCAGCAGCAGCACTGCATGAGCCGACGTCTTCCCGCCTCCATTCCTGAGCTCCATATACACTGGATGAGACCCATAAAGGTCTGTGTTCGGATTAATGGCGGACACATCCGTTGTGTACAGAGTGTAAGGGTCATTCGGGTACAGTTTAATCCCATGCGGCTGCGTGTTCTCCCCCAACCCATAAAGCGAACTATCTTCTGGCAATTTTGTTGAAATCTCCAGATACTGATCTTTAAACACCAAACTACTATATGGGTCTGAATCAGAACAGCTCGAATCGAAAAGGGTTTCGCCGTTTGATTTTCTTTTCACCCTAAACGAAAATGGGTCTGATGTGTAGCTGAATATTAGGTTACTGCCGACGTATTCAGACTCTGTAATGGAGTTTTTAGTTGATTTTCCGATGGTCTGTTTCGCCACCGGCGGTTGTTCTCTCGGTAGGAGATCATATGGAACCTCCCATCTCTGCTTCTCGGCATCGGTGATGTGAACCCTCAAGCGTTCGTTTGTCTCATGCCTTCAAAACATAAAGAAAAAACATCAAAAAAATGAAGTGAATGCAGAGGCCAAAAAGTAAAAAAAACACAACAGAAATTGGAAGGTTATGAACATACTTGACAAAGAGCTGCAAGTAAGGGATGTCGGGGCCATAAATCTTGTTGGGCTGTTTAACTTCTAGGCGACCAAGGAGACCCCCATCGGGGGTTTCTTGAACAGAGATTAAACGGTAGCCCTGTCCAATTTTGGAAGAAACAGGGGAAGAAGGTTCGGAGTTGGGTTTGGAATGGACTCCATTGCAGAAGAGAATCAGAAGAGAAAGAAGAAGAAAGCGAGGGAAAAATGGGGGAGAGGGAAGCATTGGAGCCAGTGAAAGGTACGACTGGGTGCAGAGAAGTGGAAGAACAGTTTGAAGGCTGCTGGGAGGTGGGCTTGTTGATATATAAAGGGTCTGAAGACCATAGGATTCGTCAAACTGGATTTGATTTGGTCCCTTAATAATGTCCAAAAATCTGTAATTAATTGCTTTTAATCAGGATTGTGTCTGAACTAACCTGATTAACAAAAAATTTTATTTTGTTAACATACACACACACACACTATATATCTCAGATCTCAACGGGACATATATACCATTTAGACTAACTAAAATCGTAATTAAATGCACGTTGATTTCAATTAAAAGACCAGAGAAAATACAGGAGATTATAAGCACAAATAATCGAAGTAGAATAATCTAAAATTTAGTCAAGGTCTGCTTGAAAACTTGAAAATATATATATAATAAATGAACAAATTTTAAAATAGTCAGGTAAAAGTGAAATTCATAAACGTTTGAAATAATACACAACATAGAAACACAACAAATACTCCATGACACAACCTACAACCCAATAACCGACCTCGTCATTTGTTTTGTATGCTCTTACCCTCACTTGAAAAAACAAGTTTTTAAAATTCGTGCATTAAAATTTTCTGATAAGTAACCCTTTCTTAAGGAGAAAAATATGTGATAGCATTTGACAGACCTAAATTTGTTCGGTAAAAAGTAGTGGTGACTTTATAGTTAATTAACTAACTAATTTATTGTGTCAATGCTCTCAAATTATTTATGTAAAAGTCTTGTATCTTATCCAAATAAATTGAAATTAACACCTAGTTAGTGGAGTCGAGTCACTCCTACAATAGATGTCCGTATTATTATGTACATGCATGAGGTCGCATGACTATTTTCAATAACATAATAAGGACACGCATAACCATCACATCATCACTTACAACACAAAGCTCAACAATTGCATAAACTTCTAATTAGATATAATTATTCCTCTAACTTAATTATTTTAATCCAACTCAAAATAAGTTAAAAAAAAAAAAAAAAAAAAACCC